CCACAACACGTTGAAACACAGGTTCCCGTACAATCACCGAAGTTTAGCAACCTCGAGCCTAGTCAGTACTTAGATGGGTGACCGCTTGGGAATACCAGACACTGTAAGCTTGGGTGTGCGGATGGCATAATGGGCTTACGGCCACATCACGTTGAAACACCGCTTCCCGTACGATTACCGAAGTTAAGCAACGTCGAGCCTGCTCAGTAACTAGATGGGTGACCGCTTGGGAATAACAGGTGCTGTAAGCTTGAATGTGCAGGTGGTGTAATGGATAATGGATCGGAATTGTTCCAATTCCACTCGGGTTTGTTGTATTCACTTAGACGGTAATAGCCTCGGGAAAGGTATGAATCCAACTCTTCTCCCCCAGCTATGGATTAATTAGCAAGACTTGTATCACTAAAACCGTTATTATTTCTTAAAAATAAGTAAAATTGCGTACAACATATTTAGATTTCGGTGTTAAATAACCCATAGATGTTGATATGCCATTAAACAAATACAAAAAGCAAGCAACCAACTGGCACAAGGCTATAATACTGTTACTCTAAGAATCGAATTTCCCACAATAACAATTTTGGAGCGACTTATTTAATAATTGGACAAAATTGAGTAACATTATAATTATACGAGTTTCCTTGTGAGAAGAGCATGATGTTCGCAGTGCTATATAAAAAAAAACAACCTTTTCCCATTTAATCACACGTTAGTCAGTTTAACCCTAAATCGGCGTTTCTTAGAATCACACGTCACATTCCTTTCATTTCAAACCCAGCCTTTCTCAATTCCTACTCCATTTTGAATTGTCATCTCTAAATTTTTTCACCATTACACACGCACGCATACACACACATATATATAGTTTGTGCGTGTGTAAAACATTAGATAGAGTATATCTCTAAAAGGACAATATGAATAAAGACAAAAGGAAAACTTATCTTAGCCGACGCGTTTCGTCCTCTGAGGGACTTTATCAAGACAATTGCAATGATTTTATTTTGTCAGTCAGTCAGTTTATGTACCATGCGTGATACACGATTAGGCGATTATGTATCTTTCGATACATGGCTGACGAGTCAGATATTTTCCCCGCAGTAGGTTGCCATTTCTTTCTGTGGTAGACCAGTTGCCATCCAAGGCTATAGAACCCTGTCTTTCCTGCTATTTTCCCATAGCTTGGAGGGGGGGTGGAGAAGAAGCGGATTCAGACCTTTCCCAAGGGTATAAGCACGTAAGTGAATGTAATGGATTCGATGGGAATTCGAACTCGGCTCTCCGATTGCTCAATCCGAGCCGCTATCCATTACCCCATCGTATATACAAGAACAAAAATATTATCGATTTTTCAAAATTTTTAAGTTTAAGAGCACCCATAAATATTCATTAGGTTGGTCGAATAGTCAGGCAAGCTTTAGAGGTCGCGGAGTGATATAATTGAATGACTGCATTTGCCCTGATAAAGTCTTTCAGAGGACGAAACGCGTTGGCTAAGATGTTTTTCTTTTGTCATTATTCATGTATATTGTGTATGGACGTAGGAATGAACACTGCAAGGTGACTGTCAGTTTCACGTTTTAATGCAATCTTCAGACCATTACTAGTAGGTTAAAGCATCGGATCGTGAATTTGGTAGTATAGTACCCGGGCCAGGTACTATTGACTCAGACTTGAGAGAGCAATAGCTGAATAGTGCTAAAAAAAGAACAAGAAGACATAACTCTATGAACAACAGACTGAGAACACTCTCAATTTGTGGAATAAGATGGCTCTATTATTTACATTATGTGGACTCTTGTGTTTTTATCACCGCGTTTCGGTTGTTGTGCTCTCCGGCCTTCAATAGATGCTTGTCGATTTAGGTAACTTTTATGGAATTTCAAACGGAAGCCTTTATGTAATCTACAGGGTAGTCCCGTTTAACATGTCTAAAGATACCTCGTTTAGTCATGAAAACGGCTGTGAAAAGATTTGATTTTACTCAAAGACCTTTTCTGTAGAATTTTGAGAAAAAGGCTGTCAGAAGATGACACGAAAATTTTCTTTTAAATCCTTATAAACATGATAGTCAAACCATAGCAAGTTTGAGCGTGAGTAAACAGTGTGATCTCTAAATACTTTTAGTATCCTTTGATACTTGGTGACGGTTGGGGGTAGGGGCTGCACTTCACCGTAAGCCGAAAAGTTAGCGAAGGCAATACGTCTCTGGGGATTATATACAGAACATGCAGATCTCAGTGTAAACCCTTCAGTAATTTTTTGGACCAAAAAGAGACTCTAAATTAACTTTAAAATTATTATTATAGAACCCATCTTATTATATACAGAACATGCAGATCTCAGTGTAAACCCTTCAGTAATTTTTTGGACCAAAAAGAGAATCTAAATTAACTTTAAAATTATTATTATAGAACCCATCTAATTATATACAGAACATGCAGATCTCAGTGTAAACCCTTCAGTAATTTTTTGGACCAAAAAGAGACTCTAAATTAACTTTAAAATTATTATTATAGAACCCATCTAATTATATACAGAACATGCAGATCTCAGTGTAAACCCTTCAGTAATTTTTTGGACCAAAAAAGTGCTTTAAATTGACTTTAAAATTATTATTATAGAACTCATCTAATTGGTGGGAAATGGTTTCCCTGTAAAATCTAAAACCTGTAACTTTTATAGCTTGAATTGCAATGATCCTAATGCAGAATTCCTTCTTCTATATCCTGCGTCCCTTTAGGACATAGAAAGTTATGGAGAGCCATGATCGCCTATCTCGCGTGGCGCTTAGCATTTTTCCTTTACTAAGCCCCCTACCCGCAGTCCCAACATCCATTCACACGTTCGTCAGCTAAGTGACTCGCTGCCTTCCCCTATCTCTTCTCCTCATTATACCCCGTGAGCGTTAAGTTTGTCAAACCCTCTTTCCTCATTATGTGTCCAAGGAATTTCAGCTGTCTTTACCTGATTTTGAGTATAAGTTGCCATTTTCTTTAAATTATGAAAAAGTAGGAAATATTGAACAACGTTACTTTAATCATTTCTTCTTTTACGTACTCTGTCTCTTCTGGATGTGGTCGATCATGGCTCTCCACAACTTCCCGTCCCTTGTAGCTTTAAGAAACTTTTTGCCTCCGTTTTACTATCCATTCACAGAAACTCGTTAGCTAGGTTACTCGTTGTTTCGGTCTGCCCTTTTTGCCTTCAATGTCCCGTGAGTCTTAAATTCTCGAAGCCCCGCTTTTCTCATTATGTGTCCCAGAAATTTCACTACATTTTTTCTGATTTTAAGTATTAGCGTACTTCTAGAGCCCATTGTTTAAATTCTTTAAAACTTAACTTCTTTAAAAGTTTTGTTACTACAACAATGATTAACCCCCAAGAAATCATCTTAAACAGTATGAACGGAATACTGTCTGCTTTTCGTATCGACAGGTCCAATCAAGCGTCGATTTTGAACTGACCACCGATACAAAATATCCAAAAATAAATTACAGCAATCTTCAAAACAGAAAACAAATTGATTTTTCCCGTATTCCGAACACTACACTGTATCCACACAACTGGGGTGACTTGTAGCCCTATTGAATATTGGAGGAAGATAAAGAATGAATGTTGTGGAACGGACTTCTTTTCCACATAAGACAATCCGTTTCATTTCACACCACCTTCAAAGACGAGCATAAAAGATTTTGTATTATTTGTTAAAATAATTGTTGCTACTTTATTTGGAGCCACAACTTTTCTTCGCGTTCCTTTTACCGAAGCCTATTATTTTCGACTGTTTTAATTTAATTTAAACTTGTCGTGTCCATAAAAAAATAAATTTTGCTTTAACTCATTTAACTCATTTTTGACAAGGCTATACATTTTTGTTATTGGGAGATAATTTATTTGGTTTCGCCACAAGGTGTAAGACAGTAGCGTGTAGAAGAGGGAGAAGAGGGTGTGACGGTATCCGGAATCCAATCAAAGAGTGAAATAAAAATTTAGTATTTGAAATAAATTGTTTATTTTATGTTTCATCCGTTTTTACATATTTCAAATGTCTTCTTTCTCACATGTCTCAGTACTAGACCCTAAGGCTCCCCTACCTGAGTCTTAGGGACATATCAAGAAGTTGGCCCAGGGCATCACCAAACGTCTGCACGCCACTGGTGTAAGGCCAGGCCATTTTTCATTAATCAGATATATTTTACATTTAACGTTTCTCTTTCCACTAACAGTTTTGTCATCCAATATCCCTTTCGTACTTCCATGGTCAAAAAAGCACGTGATTCTAGTTCAGTTCGTCAAGTAGTTGCGCTTTCTCTTCGGTTTAGAGAGTGACACACACACGCACAGAGTTTTCTTTGTTTAAGAGAGCGATAAATGTATTACGTCGTTGTTCGAATTACTTCCCTTGCTCTAAAATGGCGTTGGCGTGAAGAGCTCACTTCCGGCATAACTCTCACTCTTTTTATTTTCAAAATTCTCTTCAACAGTAGTAATCACTTTCACGCTCATAGACATGCTTGCCCACACGTGATTATTTAAGTTGATGTTTAATGTTATCATCTTATGAGTTGAGGCTTTCGACGACATTAATTAATTTCGACTACATATAAAATAAAGGGAAAAAAGCCTCACACATGATGCAAGTTATCGTGACACGTGGCGTAAAAAAACTTCTTGCGTTCGGATTTATCCGATACGATTTTCTTGACCTTATTTTACTTGTGCATGTAGCACAATGCGATATACGAGCTTGATCTACTACTTTCATTAAATTAATTTGAATTGACTTTCATCGGTCAATGTAAAATAAAACCCAATATAAAAATCTCAAAATTATAGAATAAATTCTCAGCTGGGAGAACCGACTACTACCAACCACTAATCCCTTAGCCCTTTCTTTACCCATCCCTTCTCTCTCACCTTCCCTCCCCACTACCAATCTAATGTGTCCGTCCAGTGTATTTTCTCCATTTACAGAGGAGATTTCGGTCTGAAGAGTTGGACATCTCAGTCTCGAAAATAAATTATAATCGAAATGGATGATTAAAGTCTCTGTCTTCTTATTATCATTATAATGCTCTGTAATCTACATTGAGCTCTCCCTGGATTT